TGCGAAGGGAAGCATTCCTTCCTTTCTTTGGCCACCGGTCTATTAAAAAATTCCTAACACGAGCATTGACATTGAATAAAGAGTGACATTGAATAAATTCTTCAAATCAAATAAAATCACAAAAGTAACATGAAGCACCAAGCGACGAAACATTTGGTAAATTATAAAGCTACACTACATATACTCTCCAATTTATGAACTTATATTTAAAATTCAACTGCCACCAATAATATAAATCTTAGAAAAACTACATTGAGCAAGATTAACAAGCCCTAGGCCTGAAAAGGAAGTATTTCAAGTTCAGTCCAATCCAGAAGAAATTTAAATACTGCAATGAAGATCAACAAGACCTAGGCCCGAACAAAACGCGGATTTCAAAGCTCAGTTGAATTCTTGGCCTCTATGGCCTGGACCTTCCACCTAAAATTCAATGCCCGCCGATCACGTCTTTTTCGAATCTAAGGGAAACTTGAACAAATGGAGCCCATTTCTGCTCCTGTTCGAGGAGTTAGGGACTGAACACCCTGGCATCTCAATGCAAAGTAGGAGAAACAGGGCCCTCAGCATGGACTAAAGATGGCTCCATCACAGCTTATCATTGTGCCTATGGGTCGACAAGCGGGTCCGGCCTGCGGCTTTGCAATTCCCTCCCACCATTGACGAAAGACTTCACCGATCCAACATGGTGGCCGTCTGTGGTGGTCAGAGACATGGTAAATATAACTAGACTAGGTTGGGCAGTCGAAGATCTTACTTCATGTAGACCCTAAGCCCAACTGCATGGGAAACTAATATTGCACACTCACATTGGGAAGTGCAATGAAAATAAAGACTGGGTTTCTTCTCCTCAAAGATGAAAAAGGTAAGGGTGGATTTTTGAACAGAGCATTATCCGATAATCTAATACTTTAATCCGAAGAGGTCAAAAGTTGCGGTGGTGGTGGCCGTGGCTGTCAACCCCAACGCGTAGGCCTACGATGCAATCCCATTCTAGATCATAGGCCATGCCATCCACGGCCTAAAGCGCCAGGACTACAAGGCTACGCCTTTCCAGTCCACATTATACTGTGACGGATAAGGATGGCAAGTCGAGAGGCTCGACTGAATGTGCAGGGTTCGGTGGTGTAGTGGTAGCACACCTGACCGGCAATCAGGAGCCATAGGCTGGACCATCCACCCCTCAAAGCGCCAGGTCCTTGAGGCTATGCTATTCTA